TAAAGTTTGTATGGGAACTTATATATGTAAAGGTGTAACTTAGCTACAAGTGGTTTGGCGGGCGAAGCGGTAGCGTGTCAACTTGATAAGCCAAGGGTTCCGTGCTCGAATTTCTGCGTTCATGAATTTTTATTTCACGAATTTTTTTGCATTTTATTTCTGAATTTGTTTAATATTATAATTATAATTGTGCAAATATGTGTTGTCATTACAATTCTATTATTTTTGCTTCTTGCAAATAATAAAAATCCGATTGTGAAAATATGTAAATACAAATAAAATTCCTATTCCTAGTTTTCTTGACTGTATTATTCCTCTATACACAATATTTTACATGTTATACTCCATATAAATATTTTACAGCGGTAGTTATTGCGAACAAGTTTTCACAATTTTATCACGCAAATATGTATTGTCATTACAATTTTATTATTTTTGCTATTAAATTATAACCAAAGTAATAAAATTGTGAAAACTTGTTCGCAATAACTACCGCTGTAAAATATTTATATGTAAATTTTATTTCACAATCTGATTTTTATTATTTACAAGAAGCAAACATAATAGAATTGTAATGATAACACATATTTGCACGATTATTATTATAATATTAACAAATTCAGAAATAAAATGCAAAAAAATTCATAAAATAAAAATTCACGAACGCAGAAATTCGAGCACGGAACCCTCGGCTTATCAAGTTGACACGCTACCGCTTCGCCCACCAAACCACTTGTAGCTAAGTTACACCTTTTCATATATAAGTTCCCATACAAACTTTAGGGCTCTTTTTATCATCATTGGCTGCCCATTGGTTTGTAGAACTTGATCATGGTATGAGGTTTTTTCACTACGAAGTCTCATTCCGAACTTCATTTCCCATACCGTTTCCTCTCCTTATGAGTACAAATAGACTGGTCCATGAACATACATATAGTATGGACTATGCATAGACAGAAAAAATGGTCGGCTGAAAAGAAAAGATAGCGACAAGCCCTATCTTCTTCTAACCAGCAGCCGTAGTACGAGAGTATAGAAAACATAGGCAATGGGAACATTAGAAAAGGAGAACAATTGGCCGCCACCTCATTTAGTCTTTGTTTATTTGAGCGGACACTTTTTCAAAGGATCTAAGGTAGGGATCACGTAGTCCACACTATATGTCAAAAGACTGGACATACCTATGCATTCTGTGCCTCGCGATCTTTATATGAGGAATATATGTTGTAACACATTTCCTGGCCTACGTTCTATCTTCGACCCGAACGTGGTATTCCGCGGATCCCTTGGGCGCCAGGTGCATCCTTGCTCCAGCCTGACTCGTCGGGCTTTTAATTTCTAATCCGCGGCACGTCAACTCCGGGAGTCTTCTCGACCGGAGCTTCCCGCTAGCTCCTAATCCGTCATGGTAGAGGGGAACGTGAGGGCGGCGAGTATCTACAGGAATCAGCCGGCTTCTTTGGTAATGACTAACACGGTGGGATTTAATTCCAACAATGGCCTTTTATTTCGCCTAGGTAAACGAGTACAGTCGGGTGATGTATACGAGCGCGGTTCCATACAATTCTAATACACAACGCGGTCGCGGAGGTCATCTCTGTTGACGGTGGATGGTTCGAATCTGCAACCGCCAGGACACGTGGCGAGGCCCACAGCCCCCCACCCCTCGTGCCAAGATGCACCGCCGGATGCGCTTCATCCCCGGCTGCATGGCTTCGGGGCGGTCACCTAAACTGCACTTACCGAATCTTCCGGCGAACCGTTCCTTTCTTCCTCGTCGCTCGGGTGGTGGTGGTTGGCAATTTTCCTCTATCACTCTGAGTTCCGTAGGAGCGCCGACGTCGTCGATAGATCCAATTTTCCTCATCACGTCCGGGGAAAAGCCACGTTGCCGAACAGGTCCTGCAAATGTCACACACTCTCACCACACTCAAACCAGAAAAATCGTGATACCTTATTCGCCGATTTTCGGTATTCCCGTTCCGCCGTTCATAACGAAGTAGCCCTCTTTCGTCCCCCTGGTCCGAGGATTCACGAAGAATCCCGAGTTCACCCGAACTCGTGCGCTTACTCTCGCCTTGGTCCACTCTCCGCTTTTCGGCGCTCACAGCCCGCCAGTCTCCGGGCGGCGCCGATCTTACCCGAGCCCGCCCGATTTTCGGGCTCGGCGGTGCCGGTTTCTCTCCCCGGCTTCCCCTTGCCAGTAAGCTACGTCGTCGTAGGTATTCTCTTGGCGGCTTTCGTCGGCGACACTGCTCTCCGTGCCCCTATGCTTTTATGTATCTGGCCGTCCCACGGACGCCACGTTACAATTTCTATCTACATATAGCATTTCAATGGGTAAAATCCATTTGCAGGTGGCTTTTTAATGCGGTTTTGAGGGTTCATGAAAATTCCGGGATCCTCCTTCTACTTTACTTATACTTTTTATATGCTGTTTTCTGTTGAACGTATCAACGGCATCAAGAGACTCGGTCGAGTCTCGCGCAAAGTACAGGCAACCGGCTGTACAAGGCACAGCTCGCCGAGACTCTTTACTTGAGTCAACTCTTATACCTGTGTTTGGAACGAAATATCTTATTAACCGCTATACATGAGAAAAAGTTATTGATACATTCACTATAGGAATTGAGGGTCCTGAATTGATTGCCACCACGTTCAATACGATTAGTATACGAGATCAGGGCGTATTGAGATGGCGAGCGAGATGATTTTATTTCAGTTCCGTCGTCGCCGTCGTCATCGTCGTCTTCGCACGTCCATCGCATTTTTTACACGACAGATAGCACTGACTGCTTTGCCTTCTTTACCTATTTGTACTCTGTATGGTGTTAGTAATTTACGAATACACAACACAATCAAATACACTTTATACGTGAAGCTACCGTTCATACCGAATTTCCAGTTAGTATAAGGGTGCTTTCACAACAGTATAGAATTATTCAGTTTTTAATAGCATTCATGTGGAGCGCGCGTAGACGGATGTATGTACATGTGTGCTTCGACATAGTTCCTGGTATTTTAGGTGACAGTTTGTCCAGGTGTTCCGCTCCGTAGTTTCCTACATCTAGATGGCGGACGTGGAAGTCCAGGGTGTCCATGTATTCCGCTTCGTAGTTTTCTGTATCTAGGTGCCGGATGTGGTTTCAGTTTTTAATAGCATTCATGTGGAGCGCGCGTAGACGGATGTATGTACATGTGTGCTTCGACATAGTTCCTGGTATTTTAGGTGACAGTTTGTCCAGGTGTTCCGCTCCGTAGTTTCCTACATCTAGATGGCGGACGTGGAAGTCCAGGGTGTCCATGTATTCCGCTTCGTAGTTTTCTGTATCTAGGTGCCGGATGTGGAAGTCCAGGGGATCCAGGTGTTCCGCTCCGTAGTTTCCGGTATCTAGGTGTCGCATGTAAAAGTCCAGGGTGTCCGGGGGTTCCGCTCCGTAGTTTCCGGTATCTAGGTGTCGCATGTAAAAGTCCAGGGTGTCCGGGGGTTCCGCTCCGTAGTTTCCGGTATCTAGGTGTCGCATGTAAAAGTCCAGGGTGTCCGGGGGTTCCGCTCCGTAGTTTCCGGTATCTAGGTGTCGCATGTAAAAGTCCAGGGTGTCCAGGTATTTCGCTCCGTAGTTTTCTGTATCTAGGTGTCGGGTGTGAAATTTCAGGGTGTCCAGGTGTTCCGCTCCGTAGTTTTTTGTATCTAGGTGTCGGACGTAGAAGTCCACAAAAGTGTGCAACAAGGTTTGGCGCTTCGCTCAAACTGTAGTTTGTGTTGTGACCCGCCAATTAGTACTCGATAAGGAATCACCTAAAGTTTTATTAATTATTAAATGATCATCAAATCATAATCAACTACGGGAAGCAGTAGTAATGTAAAAGAGTAGTGAAAACGTTATAAGAAATTTTGAAAATACAATTAAAATGATGAGCCAGTGCTAAATCATATAATAGGAAAATATGTAGTGACTTATGTACTTGGCCTCAATAATCTGATATCAATACTTTTTATTAGAGGAATACACAGCACTCCTGTACTTGGCGTAGTTTTTTACACGTGTTTTTTTGGGGGATCGCCTAAAACCGGAGCGTTGTGCATCTCCCCACTCATCTCTGTATGATGAAACGTTTTTACAAGTCTATTAAGCACTATCAAATGACTATCAAACGATTGGAAGTAAAAAAAATTTGCAATATCGTCTAATTTAATGGACGCACCGATCGAAAAATCGATCGAGATTCTTGAAGCACATATGGTTTTTCAAACTTTTCTAGTAAACAGTGGACTAGCAAGCGTTTTTATTCGATAATTTAAAATTGTCAAACGATTCTGCATTGATTGAGTTCAGAAAAACCTATGTAAATCAGGTTAGAAATAAAAAAGTGCCGGCTAACCTTATACCAGATTTTGATTTGGGTTTTTTGAAAAAACTATTGACTATTGATTATTAAACGTGTTTACAAGCTATCACACGACTACCAAATGATTGGAATATAAAAAAGTTTAAAAACAAAGTTTTCCGGTTAATTTCACACAGATGCATTCTTCATAAATAACATATGCAAATAACCAGAAGGAAGTCACTTTTTATTAACAGCGGTTATTTTAATAATAAAAAAACCATACACCCTAAAAGTATACACCATGCCACACTACGCTACACCTTTTCATGCGCAACTACACGAATAACTAATGAGCTTCCGAATTAATCGAAAATCAAAAACATGTTTACAATCTATTTAATGGTGGTGTTAATTTTTAATATTTTGTTTAGATTAAGATGCCTGTCATGTATAAAAAAATATTCTTTGAATTTGAATTCATGGAAAGTCGTTTTTTCTTATCCTATACCGTCACTTATTTTTCCTGACAAATACAAAAATGGTGACTTTTCCTTAATTTTCTTAGCCATTTTTTAATTTTCAGGCATTTTCAGGTTTTCCCTGACTGATGGACATGATGTAAGATATACTAAAATTATCAATGGTGTAAAATGTAGTTGTTAAAAGAATCAATGAAGCCCACGTTTGTTTTATTGAGAACAATAGATTTATACAGGATGGCGGTGTATGAGTTTACGCGATACTGCTGGCATTGGAGGCGATTCTTGGCCACAGATCTGCACACTCCTTAGCGACTGGACCTGTGATGGCAGAACCTTTCATTTCACCCTTGTTATTAACAATTACTCCTGCATTGTCCTCAAAGTATATGAAGACTCCATCCTTCCTGCGGAATGGTTTCCGTTGCCGGATGACCACTGCCGGCATAACTAAATACAATGAAAATCAAATAATTAAAATAGAAGGTATCACTAGGAATGTATTAGGTTTTATTTTAAGGTCTTCTTCTAGATCACTTGGACTAGTGAAGAAAAAAGAACTTCAAAAATGACTCCTCATTGGTTAAAATTGTCCTTCATTAAAGAGGTTTTTGCTAATGAGGAATCTGTTATGACTCGAACAACTGATCTACAAAAGGTGCTTATTATGCAAATAGTTTGTCCTGTTTATCACTGCACATTATTACTTATAATTATATTAACTTGATTGCTACGTTAACCAATTTTAAAATAGACCTACCCTTTTTCCTGAGTTCAGGTTTTCCTTTCTTGACAGTGGCTACGATCATATCCCCTGAGCCAGCTGCAGGCATACGGTTTAATCTACCTTTAACACCTTGTACAGCTATAACATGTAAATTCTTTGCTCCTAGAACATAAATAATAATTTGTTTAAAGTACCTGAATGTAATAATACCATAATTGTGCATAAAAATTAATATGGTAAATTAAATATTATTGTTAAACATTATATATATAATATTACAAAAGTGTCTATCGAAGTAAAATTACAATAAACAAGATTGTAGAAGACACGTCAAAATTATATTACTAGAAAACTTTGGAAAGATAAATAAAAGCCATTTTAATTGAAGGCTTTAATTAAATTAAGTATCCTGATACTTAAAATATAAATATCCAAAAAGTTTATCTTATATATAAGTTTGATACCAAATGTCAGACAAATCATCACAAAACTTCTTTGGTGAAGTTTTATAAAATCTTAATTTGCAATATATAGATAGCATAAAAATAAGTGTTCAAGAAATCTGTTATTAGAAAGAAAAAATTTAGTTTCGCAAAGACTAGAGAATACAACAGAATAGATGTTTAGTCACGTGCTGTTTTTATAGACATTTTCTCCGATGGAGAAATAGCAGAAGAAACAGATTAGGTCATATGTTGAATTATTTTAAGTAGATACTCACCAGTGTTGTCTGCACAGTTAATAACAGCTCCAACAGGCAAACCCAGAGATATCCTAAATTTGGCTCCTGCGGAACCACCACGTCCTTAAAAAATAAAATCACATGTCAAAAACCAAACTCGTATTTGCCATTTGATACACGCTACAAGTTTTATCCTGTATTTTCACTCCTTCCATATAAATAGAGAAACGATATTTATTAATAAACACATCTAACATTTGTGAATTTCTCTGTCTATATTGATTTGACAGATGGTATGCATTTTTTCAGGTATTTATGGATTTCATCGGCATTCGACATAAGCTTACCTCTCTTCGACATCTTGGCGTGTTAAAGAAAGAACAAGATGCTCAGTGCTGCGCCATGACACTAGGAAAACGGAATCGGAAAGGCGGAATGGTGGGAGGTTAACCAATCAGGATTGTTCCATTTGTAATTTTAATACCCTGATTCACCATGGAGAAAATTCTAACCTTAAAAAAAGCTAATTCTTATTAATTAACATGATTTAAGATAATAAATATCGTAGAAAACAGCGTAATAATGAACGATTCTAATAATTTTATATAATTCTGAATTAAAATTTGGTAAATATATGAAATTTATATAGAAAGCAAGATTTCAATTTCGTTCCACTGCCCATAAAATACGCTCCATGCGGAATCAAAGTATTAAAATTCAGAATCTTCGTTGGTCGATTCCATTCAAATCCTATACATGATTGGTTAACTCTGTTTAAACTTTATACGGTGGAAACTGAACCATTGATTTGAAGGGGCGCGGTTTTACATATAAATTTGATTTCAGCAAAACACGTTTGATCATTGTAAAAATATAATTTTATAAATAATATCTACTCTTTGTATAACAAATTTTAATAAATGAATACTTACGTATTCTGTAAATATGTTAATTTGAGTGTTTACTGATATTCAACTTTTTAAAGAGAATTGAATACAGATAAAAAAAATGTATACAGTTGACGGAGATAGTAGTCTCCAGAATAGGGAAATTTTGTATTTCGAACAAAAGTACGGTATTGTCAAATGCTAGGTGTATTATGAATCCTAGACTTTCTAAAATCTTCAAATTAATAAGTCACTACAGCATCAATAATGTCTTTTAAAGTAGTCAATTTTAATGTTAGAAATAAAAATGAATCCTCTACGCAAATTCAGATTTTAAAGGCGTTATTCTCCTGTGGAAGGGAAAAGGAGGTTGTTTATTAATAATACATTTTTAAAGATTAAATTATTATCCAAATCTCTCTACTATTATATTAAAATTGTTAAAGTAATATTAGTATTCCTAATTTGCTGCATGTTTATAAGGATTTTTTGACGAGTATAAAGAAATACATCTACATCTGCAGCGAACAGTATTTGAAAACACATGGTAAATATTGAACACTCAACGTATTAATTGTATATATTTTACATATTATTTAATCATACTTCTTATTATTACAATAAGCCGACTTACATAAACCAACAATTCGGTGCAACTTCTATAATTAGGTTCTTCATGATTCTCAGCCGACGGGTTAAAAGTAAAACGGCGAATCAATCATTTCTGCTTTTGTTACGCTTTCACAGTGACCTTCGTTAATTTCTAAACAAAACATCAAGGAAAAGTTTCAGTTATATGATTTTAACGAAGTATAAATAATAAAAATGCCTGACGTATTATTGACAGATACAATTGCTTTGGAGTTGGGAGGTAAATTTTATCGGCTGTCTTATTCGTTTTGACTTTTTTTACTCAATGGACTACCTAACCCTATGTGGAAAGTTTTTCAAACCGTAATTTAAGCTCGTATTTCTAATTCATTTTAAGTGTAACACATGATGATATGCATCTCATATTGACTTGAATATACTTTACAATGCTATGATTTGAGTAGTTCTCACTTTTTGATTTTAATGATGTAATGAAACTGACTAGTATAGTTCTGTGCAGTAGCTTATTAGGATTTGTTGTTTTAGCGCAAGAACAATGGCCCCAGCCTATAATATTCTATCAGCCCTATGAAGTTGAACAGATTTTGCTACCTGATAATGCAAATTGCTTGGCAGTGCAAGCTTATTTGAAGATGTGTGGATTAGAATTTCAAATAGAGCCTCGCAGTAATGCTGAATATATGTCTCCATCTGGACGCGTACCATTTATTCAGTGTGGAGCATTTCTGGTAGCTGAATTTGATCCTATTGTTGCTTTCATAAGTAGCAAAGGGACAAGCCTCTCTGAACAATTGTCACAAACAGACAAGGCTGACATGAGAGCATACATGTCATTAGTGAACAACGTTCTTGTAAATATTGAACAGTATATCTGTTGGGTTGATCAAACTACCCTAAATAGCGCTACTAAGCCTAGACATGGAAGTGTATATCCTTGGCCTCTCAATCATGTGATAAATTGGCAGAAACAAAATCAGGTCACTAAGCGGCTAAAAGTCCTTGGCTGGTATAATAAAACTCTAGATGAAATCTACAAAGAAGCTGAAAATTGTTGCACTGCCCTTGCTGAACGCTTGGAAGGAAAGTCGTTTTTTTCTGGAGAAGAGTATGTATTAATTTGATTTTCTTTTATATTTCATTTATTCAAAGCAAATTTAATATTTTTCTTTTGTGAAGACCTACAGAATTGGATGCTTTAGTCTATGGTCATGTGCATGCTATTACCAGTACACATTTCCTACCATCTACTAGAGGAATAATTAATATTGTTCGAAGTTTTCCTCAACTCTTAGAACATGCACGATTAATTAATAACCGGTATTTCAACTGCAACCCAAATCTTATAATTGAGGATCTTGATATTCTGAAATGCATGTCAGATGATTCTATTTGGAATTCTTCAAGATCCCTGGAGTCCCTACCATCTCTTACAGAAGACTCCTTTTAATATTGAGAATATGAATACATCTCCATCCCAAATGTTACATGTATCATACAAGTTCTAAACTTTTGTTTTATTGCATATTCCCAAATTAAATATATTAGAATATAATTTCATATTACAATAATATTTTAATAATACATTTCATAAAATACATTATAATAAATAATATTGGTAATATTCCTGTTTAGCCGACCCATGGAATTGGATGCTCTAGTTTTCGGACATATATTCACGATACTTACAACGCCGTTACCCAACAACACCCTGGCAAATATCGTAAAGAACTACCCCACTCTTATTAATCTATGCAGGCGTATCGAAATGCAATACTTTCAGAGAACCGATGATTAGAATAAGCCAAATTGCCCAAGTTTCAAGTACATCGAAATCAAATACACAGACTGTGAAAAGGTAAAATTTCTGTGCTATGCTAGAAATGTTACTACAAACAAATACGTGCAAGGACGTGTTTGTTTAATTCAATAATTGTAACATTTCACCTAATAAAATATATATTAGAATAGAATAGAAGAATTTCTCACAGTTAGTTTATGGAAAAACGTTATACTTGAAACTTGAGTAATTGATACATACGATAGTATGATGTAGATGATTCAAACTTGTTAGTCTAGTTTAACAAGACTCTATCCTGTCTTATTATTACTATTTCTCAATTATGTATTATGTATGTTTTGAATACTAAATTGTAAATACAGCATGCAGATTTCACTTTGGATTCTAAAGGTACCCTATTTCCAAAATCCATTGTTTAACGCCTACATACTGTGGTTCTATGAAAAGAATTGAGTATCAGGACACTTTTGTTGCTAAAAGTGAGTTCTGACGATGGGCCTAAAATGATTATGTAGATATGTACAACATAGTATAACAATGCTTTAAACAATAGTAATTGCAATTATGTCTGCATAATTTTCAAAAGAGGCTGATTATTTATACATACATCTATATATATTCGTTCATTCAATTGCTGGAAATTCCAAAACATGCTTTCCTTTTTTCTGTAAAAAAATTAATAAAATAATATGTTAAAATGAGTACAATCAAATGAAATGTTATGAGATGCATATAAGTGAAATATATTGCCATTAATGAATTTTTTGATGAATTCTACATTATATATTAATTAGTGTAAAAAATAAACCAATATATGTGCCCATGTATGAAGTTACAGTTGGTTGAAATCAATAATTTGGTTATTATCGTTTACATGTATCTTTAGATGCATATTATGAATTTATAGTCTTGCATATTTACCATGGAGGATAATTTATTTTGAAGCAAAATTACCGTTATAGATTTATTATACATTATATTATTTATTTATTTATATACATACATACATTTGTTATATGCATTTTATGGTAAAAGTTACTTCAGCGACCAATCCTAGTTTCTTCATATTCTTTGCTTTAGTTATCTTTTCAAAACTTAATTTTTATTAACAAGTTAATAACAGTAGTAAATCACAGCTGATACTTACATTATCATACATACAATAAAGTAAAATAATTAATGGAAATCAAAATCTAATTTATTACTGTCATATGGTCAATCCACAAATAAAATGTGATATCTAATGGACTGTTTTGTACTGAACTCAAGGAGATGGTTTTTCCAAAATACATTTTTCTTATATACAAATTTTGGATTCTAAGTGCTTAGATTAGATAATTATAAGATACTAGCGCACAAATTATTAGCGTGTGAACATTTTTCATTGCACTTGATATACTTATGACAGAATTGTTACCTGGAAAGAATAACTCAGACTGTCTGTCTATATGCAAACAATTAAAATTTTAATAGTTAATTACATCAATTATTGATATTAAGTGGTAATTCCATCCTTATCCAATTCTTGAATTCAATAGTTTAAACTTCTGGTGCCATAATATTATATTTATTTGATGAAAGTAGCACACGGATATATTGTGAACCATAATACACACAGCTACCACACATTATGAACAAAACTAGTGATACAAATATCAAAGACCTGCAATTTTAAGCATAATTAGTTTACAAAAATTTCATTTTTACAATTTTGCAATACATACACCAATAAAAATGGATCTGTTTCTGTACAGCAAACACCTTCTTTGCAACAATATTCCCAAGCTTCACATTGACCCCAATCACAATAAAATGCAGAACTCTGATAAGTTAAAAATTATGTTACATTCATTTCTTGCATCTGATTTAAATATCATAGATTTTGTTGGCAGATTTCTTAAGATAAAATAAAATTCAATAAAGTCTGTTATTAACTGACTTGTTTTTCCGTCTTTAGGGTTACAAGTGAACATAATATATTATTGATATATGTAGTAATTATGATTTACCAAAGTAGTCGAGGCAAACAAATAAGAAATTATAAGAAAAATTTGTTTTAGCAAGTGTCCCATTGCTACCCGTTTATCACCGTTTACTATGAAAAAAGTAAAAAGTAAAAGTGTGACGTCGCGTGTTCTTAGACAATTAGCGTACAGGGG